GTGTACTCCGGTACAGGACGTCTGTGGAACAAAAAAAAAGCTTCGTAGCTCATCGGATTCCTCCAGTTAGAAATACATTTTCCGATTTGTTTGTCTGTTTCTATGTTTGTTACCTCTTAAGACCACACACATCATCATCATCATCATTATTACTACTACTGCTTGCATCACTGACGCGGGACACGTGTCCAGTCTAGATTTGCTCGCCGTCGATGTTCCCGCCGCTGTCAAACGAGCCGGATCGCGTTAGCGCGACCGTTCAATCCGCCGCCGATGTTGAAGTCGACCTCTCGATCCTGCCACGCCGCTTTCATCGCTCCGGCGTAGCGGCGGCCGACCCCCGGCGTTCCCGGCATCGCGTCGCGACTAAAGGGGGGGGTGGGGGGCGGGGTGGGGTGGTGGGGGGGGGGGCTTCACCGCTAGATCCCGGGCGCTCCGCCGAGTCGCGTTTGGCGCTTCCAGTTGCCGGTAACGGATTGGCCGCCGCGAGCTCACAGCCCCGCTCGGTTGCCGTCGACGCAATTGGCGCACAGCGGACCGACGTCGGCCGGGCTCGCTGATCCCGTCAAGGAGTTCTAAACCACCACCACCACCATCATCACCACCACCACCATCACCACCACCACTACCACCACCACCACCATCACCGCCATCACCACCACCACCACTACCACCACCATCATCACCACCACCACCACCATCACCGCCATCACCACCACCATCATCACCACCACCACCATCATCACCACCACCACCACCACCATCACCACCACCACCACCATCATCACCACCACCACCACCATCATCACCACCACCACCACCACCATCACCACCACCACCACCACCACCATCACCACCACCACCACCATCATCACCACCACCACCACCATCATCACCACCACCATCATCACCACCACCACCACCATCATCACCACCACCACCAGCACCACCACCACCACCACTATCATCACTCTTTGGTTCTATTCGGTAAAGTCACGTAGGTAAAAAAAACGACAAAAAATTACGACGTTTCGGCCACAACACAAGCGGCCTTCATCAGGTGAAGGGATCAGGCTGTCTCGAGGACAGCGCTGGAGTGGTGCGCTGTCCTCGAGACAGCCTGATCCCTTCACCTGATGAAGGCCGCTTGTGTTGTGGCCGAAACGTCGTGATTTTTTGTTGTTTTATATTTTTTTACCTACGTGACTTTACCGAATAGAACCAAAGAGTATGGATCCTTGCAGTCACGAAAGCTTTAAATCTATCATCATCACCACCATCATCATCATCACCACCATCACCATCATCACCATCATCATCACCACCACGTGACACTGCCGTGACATCCTCGCAGCTGGCTCGGCGACGGCGGCGGTGGATTCCGCCGCCGTCGCCGCGGCGCTTTCGGACTGCGCCGCTTCCGCGGCCGTCTGGAACGTTCTCTTCCCGGTGGCCATGTTATCAGGAAAGCCACTGGGGAGCTGTGATGCACTTTAACATCATCATCATCTCGATTGGCAAGCTCGTTTCTTTAGAAGTGCTTTGTGTGTTTAGTTTGTAGTCCCTCCCCCGACACCTCCTATTAGCGCGGTTGGCTACGTACGGTGCGAAAGAAGTTCAATGTGCGTACGAACACACTGCTCATAGACTCAACACTGCCCATAGACTCAACACTGCCCATAGACTCAACACTGTCCATAGACTCAACACTGCCCATAGACTCAACACTACTTATAGACTCAACACTACTCATAGACTCAACACTGCCCATAGACTCAACGCTGCCCATAGACTCAACGCTGCCCATAGACTCAGCACTGCCCATAGGCTCAAAACTGCCCATAGACTCAACACTGCCCATAGACTCAACACTGCCCATAGACTCAACACTGCACCATAGACTCAACACTGCCCATAGACTCAACACTGCCCATAGACTCAACACTGCACCATAGACTCAACACTGCCCATAGACTCAACACTGCACCTCTGAGTAGCAGTACGGTTGGCTACACACGGTGCAAAAGAAGTTCAACGGACACTCCGTACACCACACACACACACCACACACACACCACACACACACCACACACACCACACACACACACCACACACACACACCACATACACACACCACACACACACACACCACACACACCACACACACCACACACACCACACACCACATACACTCCACACAGACACCACACACACACCACACACACACACACACCACACACACACACCACACACACACCACACACACACCACACACACACACAACACACACCACACACACACACCACACACACCATACCACACACACACCACACACACCACACACACACACACACCACACACACACACCACACACACACACCACACACACACACACGTGGATGTTACACGTGTAAACTCGGACTTTTTGAGACTCATTCCTTGAACCTCCGGGGGCTGATGTCGGAGGTGGAGCAGTCGAGATGTCCATCAACTCACAATGGGGCTTGGCTCGTAACCTAATAGCATCACCATTATATTTATATTTTATTCAACAGTATTGAGTCTTGGTAAAGTATAGTACGTGTTAACCACCTCGCCTGGTATGCAGGAGCGCGTGGGTTCGATCCCGACCCCTGACAATGCCTGCTGCTGTATATTTGGAGTTTAGTGTGTCTCTCTCTCTCATCATCATCACGGTGGCTAGGAGATGTTAACTACCTCGCCTGGTGTACAGGAGGTCGTGGGTTCGATCCCGACCCCTGACAATGCCTGCTGCTGTATATTTGGAGTTTAGTGTGTCTCTCTCTCTCTCATCATCATCACGGTGGCTAGGAGATGTTAACTACCTCGCATGGTATACAGGAGGTTGTGGTTTCGATCCCGACCCTGTATATGTGGAGTTTTCGGTGCAAGTCCGGTGTCCTGACCATTACATCACGGGTAGCGAGTATCGTGTTTACTCCCAAACGATCTCTCACTAACGCTGAGAATGTGTGTATATACATTAGACTCACAAGTCGCATCAATCTTCTGCCAAACGTGGTCAAGGCACGTCCAAGGCAACACAATTACACTGCTGGAATCATCCGAGTCGAGAGTGGGCACAGACAGACACAGCAGGGCAAGTTTCTATTCGAGAGGTGTCTGTGTGAGTCTATGGGTCTCTGTGTGAGTCTATGGGTCTCTGTGTGAGTCTATGTGTCTCTGTGTGAGTATATGTGTCTCTGTGTGAGTATGTGTGTCTCTGTGTGAGTATGTGTGTCTCTGTGTGAGTCTATGTGTCTCTGTGTGAGTCTATGGGTCTCTGTGTGAGTATGTGGGTCTCTGTGCGAGCATATGTGTCTCTGTGTGAGTCTATGGGTCTCTGTGTGAGTCTATGGGTCTCTGTGCGAGTCTATGTGTCTCTGTGTGAGTATATGTGTCTCTATGTGAGTCTATGTGTCTCTGTGTGAGTATATGGGGCTCTGTGTGAGTATATGGGGCTCTGTGTGAGTATATGGGGCTCTGTGTGAGTATATGGGGCTCTGTGTGAGTATATGGGGCTCTGTGTGAGTATATGGGGCTCTGTGTGAGTCTATGGGTCTCTGTGTGAGGCTATGGGTCTCTGTGTGAGTATGTGGGTCTATGTGTGAGTCTATTCGTCTCTGTGTGAGTCTATGGGTCTCTGTGTGAGTCTATGTGTCTCTGTGTGAGGCTATGAACCTCTGTGTGAGTATGTGGGTCTCTGTGCGAGTATATGTGTCTCTGTGTGAGTATATGTGTCTCTGTGTGAGTCTATGTGTCTCTGTGTGAGTATATGTGTCTCTGTGTGAGTATGTGTGTCTCGGTGTGAGGCTATGGACCTCTGTGTGAGTATGTGGGTCTCTGTGCGAGTCTATGGGTATCTGTGTGAGTATATGGGTCTCTGTGTGAGTCTATGGGTCTCTGTGTGAGTATATGGGTCTCTGTGTGAGTATTTGGGTCTCGGTGTGAGTCTATGGATCTCTGTGTGAGTCTATTCGTCTCTGTGTGAGTCTATGGGTCTTTGTGTGAGTCTATGGGTCTCTGTGTGAGTCTATGCGTCTCTGTGTGAGTCTATGGGTCTCTGTGTGAGTATATGGGTCTCTGTGTGAGTATATGGGTCTCTGTGTGAGTCTATGGTCTCTGCTTGAGTCTATGGGTCTTTGTGTGAGTATATGGGTCTCTGTGAGTCTATGGGTCTCTGTGTGAGTATATGGGTCTCTGCGTGAGTATACGGGTCTCTGTGTGAGTCTATGGATCTCTGTTTGAGTATTTGGGTCTCTGTGTGAGTATTTGGGTCTCTGTGTCAGTCTATGGGTCTCTGTGCGAGTCTATGGACCTCTGTGTGAGTCTATGGATCTCTGTGTGAGTCTATGCGTCTCTGTGTGAGTCTATGCGTCTCTGTGTGAGTAGACGGGTCTCTGTGTGAGTCTATGGGTCTATGTGTGAGTATATGGGTCTCTGTGCGAGTCTATGGGTTTCTGTGTGAGTCTATGGGTATATTCATGGTTTTCTGAATTCCACTAAGGCAGTGTTGTCTTTGTGTGTGTGGGGGTGGGGGCTGGGGGGGGGGGCAGGACGGGGCTGGTGGCCTCGAGCGATTGAGGTTCAAGTATATGGTTCAGACAAGCACAGCATTGCAACCACGCCCGGCCGCCTTTGTCTCCCCAGTGGCGATGTCCCGACACACCGCACCAGGTACTCATCTGAGGCCGAGTCGACCGCCGTGGAATTTATAACCACGGGCAAGTGCCGTGCGTCAAACCGGGTGTGATGCGTGACAGGCGACCCCCCTCTCTCTCTCTCTCGTCTCAGTTTTTTTTCCCAGCGCAGCACGCCACGCGATTACGTTATCTCTGTGCGAGCCCGTGGGGGTGGGGTGGTGGTGGGTAGTGGTGGGTGGTGGTGGGTGGGTGGTGGTGGTGGGTGGGTGGGTGGTGGGTGGGTGGGTGGTGGTCTCTCCTCGCCGCCACGTCGCCCGCTCCGCGCCGCCAACTCAC